AAGCTGTTCAAATAAAATAAGCAATAAATCAACTGTAAGGTGACTAAACCAGTGCTTCTGCATTTCTAGGTCAAGTCATTACTTAATGTAGTTTTTGTTTTTTGTTTTTTGTTTTTTTAAAGAAACCATGTATTTATCAAATAAGTGCTTAACTCTGAACTTAGGGGAAGAGAAAATAATTGGCAACTGTATTTTCCCCCAAATCAGGCCAGTAGCCTTGGTATCCTCCTTAATAGCTTTCTCTTATAATCCATGTCCTATTCATCAGCAAATCCTAGGATCTTCCTTTCAAAACCAGCCATTTTCACTGCCACCCCACTGGTGCTGGCCACCAAGCCCAAGCCATCAGCATCAATGACTGGGCTTGTTGCGATAGACTCGTCAACTGGTCTCTTGTTTCCATAGCCAATTCTGCACTCAGCAGCCAGAGTGATTGCTCTCACGATTTCCCCAGTCACTTGGAATCAAATCCCAAGTCCTGGCTATGGCCCACAAAGCCCTGCAAGATGCCACCCCCAGATATCATGCCTCCTCCCACTTTGACTCATTTAGCTTTAGCTATGCTGGCCTTCTTTTTTTTGGCTGTACGCGGGCCTCTCACTGCTGTGGCCTCTCCCGTTGAGGAGCACAGGCTCCGGACGCGCAGGCTCAGCAGCCATGGCTCATGGGCCCAGCCGCTCTGCTGCATGTGGGATCTTCCCGGACCGGGTCACGAACCCGTGTCCCCTGCATTGGCAGGCAGACTCTCAACCACTGTGCCACCAGGGAAGCCCCATGCTGGCCTTTTTGCTTCTCCTAAAACATATCAGGCATTTGTCAGCCCTGGGTAGTGGCTGTGTCCTCTGATCTGGACATACTTCCCCCAGCTATCCGTTGGTTAACTGCCTTATTTCTCTTAGCCTCAGAGGTTTCTATCACAGAGTCCTGCCCCTACCACCCTGTCTGATATGATACTTCCACTGACCATCTGCCATCCTCCATCCTCATCCTTGCTTTATTCTCCTTTACTACTGACAAATTATGTGCTTATTTGTTTAATAGTCTGTCTCACCCACTTCTGCACTAAAATGTAAACTCCAGGAGGGTAAAGATTTTTGTTTCTTTTGTTTCTCATTGTATCCACAGTGACTAAGACAGTGCCTGACACATCACAGGCAATCAGCAAATGTTTGATGAATGCCTTGGTCCCCTCCGTGGGTGATTTTTGACCTGCCACTTGTTCTCTTTTCCACAAGCAGCGCTTCATGGTTAGAGACGTGTCCAGAGCTAGGAGGACTCTATAGTTATGTCTCTGGACAGCTGCAGAATTGATGTATTTAAGGGTTTATTTTTCTAAATCTGAAGAAGAAAAACCTACAAAATACACACATATTGAAATGCACTCTCAACCCATATTCTCCTCTCCTTACCACCCACCTCATGTAAAGTGCATTCTCAAAGCATCAATCACAAATGATTAGGTCAGGGTGAAGAAAGACCTCAGATATACAAATAAATTACAAGAATTCTTAACTACCATGGGAACTCATTGACTATGGGATTGTAGAAAAAAAGGTACATATAAATATTTGCACAAAAAACCATGTAAACTAATTTCCTGAATGTTTGAGAATCCTTACCAGTCAGAAATTGCTCTTATTTGATTGGAATGGAGAGGAGGTGATGGAGAGAGATACTAAAAAACTAGTCTAAAGTGGCTTTAGCTAGCAGGCTAACAGACAGTGTCTACTGCGGGGCTGAATCAGTTCAGACTCAAAATCTAGTGCCTTTCTATGCCTGGGTTACAATGTAATGAGAAGAGAAACAACCAAATCCCGTACTAGCAAACACAGGTTCGATTGTGCACGTTATTCTTTATTCCAGTAGGTTTTAGAGAGATTACCGTCAACAAAGATTAAATGATTAACTGTGAATTACCCTCTTTCCATGAGTATTAAAATTAATCAAAGACTTAACAGAATCTTCTCCAGTTGGCTGGCATCCACTGCCGCCTCTGATGCTAGGATTCAAAGAAAACAGATGTTAGAATGATAGCATTTTGAAGCCAGAGGGATTCTCAGACCTCATTTTACAAAGAAATAAATGAGAGAGAGGTTGGAAAGGTCAGACTCAGAAGATTCCTTCTCCAAGTATCCATGAGATGGGACCTTAATGGTGTGCCGAGGCTCTGGGGAGGGACCAGAGCCCCACTTTGAGAGCAGTCATTGAGGAGCAGCTGAGGCATCGCAGGAAACAGCATTGGATTTGAAGTCCGAGGACCTGGGTTTAAAACACTAGCCTCATCACTGATTAACTGTGTAACACTGGGCAGGCTCTTCACTGGAAAGAACCTGTTTCTTAATTTATAAAATAAGGGTAATGAAGACACAAGGTGACCGTGAGAGCTAAGTGGAAATACCACTCATGACAAAAAGTTAAAATTTAATCTCTGCTTGCTCCATACCAGCATATGATCCTGGCACTTTCCATGTGTTATCTTTTGGGGTTTGCAAAGTCAGTGGTACTAGCACTGTTTTGCAGATGAGGTAATTGGGGCCCAGAGGGTTTTAAAACACACTCAAGGTCATACAGCCAGTAGATGATATTGCACAGTTAGGTTCTAGATCTGTGGGACTTCAGAAGCTCTCCCTCACTCTCCGAAACTCATGCAGCACATGGCAGAGGCTTCAGAAATGTTTCATGAATAAATAACCTGTTGTAAGGAAATATATCAAAGAAAAATAAGGCATCAATTTAATTTCCCTGGAAAGCTTTGTAAACTTCTGAAAAGCCATGTGCACCAAATAAATCACTCCCAAAGGCCTTTTTAAGCCAGAAGGAAATGAGCCAAATCACTGATATTTCAATGTTGAGATTAATGCATTCAGAAAACATCCCTTGGACCCCATCTAAAGGCACTTTGCTAAGCATTGATTCACTAATCTGACACAGTCATTTTAAAAGGTCAAATTAGGGCTTCCCTTGTGGCGCAGTGGTTGAGAATCCGCTTGCCGATGCAGGGGACACAGGTTCGTGCCCCGGTTCGGGAGGATTCCATGTGCCGCGGAGCGGCGGGACCCGTGAGCCATGGCCGCTGAGCCTGTGCGTCTGGAGCCTGTGCTCCGCAACGGGAGAGGCCACAGCAGTGAGAGGCCCGCGTACCGCAAAAAAAAAAAAAGTTAACTCTGCTGTTTTTGTTGAGAGCTAGTGGGAAAAGAAGGGAAAACAGGGGTGTAGCGGTTTGTGATATAAAGTATCTTCAGGGGGTTGGACTGAAAAAGAAGAAGATGAAGGAAAGCAGAGAGTTGCATTTTAGGCACATAGCACGGGGAGGGGGCTCACATTCTCAGGAGGCCTCTGAGAATTAAGACCATCAAGGGACGGTAAATGTGCACCTCTCACCTCATATCGGATCTGGGATTTATGTTCATCAAGACCTGAAAGATGCCTGCCCTGTTGACATCTTTGTCTCTACTTTTCTCTGAGCCAGGCTGGTACCACTGCACTCCCATCAGTTGAACGTGTGTGTGGTGTGACTCAGGATTATCCTGTCCCTGCCGTTCTCCACCTGGAGGAGGGCCACAGAAGTGGTTCTTAAACTGTGTTCCGTGTTCACTGCAGTCCAGGGTCCAGAGCAAGGCGAGTGGTTGTGGATTGGTCGTCCCCACTTCCTGCCACACCTGTTCACCTCAAGCCGGGTTCTGAGTATACTGAGTTCTTGATAACTGTGTTCCGTGTTCACTGCAGTCCAGGGTCCAGAGCAAGGCGAGTGGTTGTGGATTGGTCGTCCCCACTTCCTGCCACACCTGTTCACCTCAAGCCGGGTTCTGAGTATACTGAGTTCTTGATAAGATATGTTTGAAAACAGTGTGTGGCTGCTTAAGGATTTTTTTTTTTTTTTTGAAACTTTTCTGAAAACCGTCTGTAAACCAAAAATGCTGGTTTTTACCTCTACTTCTTCCCTATCAGTGTGTTTGGGAAACGTTACTGTTACTTAGTCTTTCTAGTTTCAGTCTCCTCATGTGTAATATGATGGCTTTGGCCCAAATGCCCTAAATGTAAGATACCTTTGCTAAGAATCAGCTAAGTCAGAGAAATTTCTGTAAACGCCGCTAGCAGCATTACTCTGGTTTTACTAATACCGAATTATGATAACAGCACATATACTGCTCTCGTGCCTTGCATGTTACTGAGATAATGAGGAAATTAACTGAGGAGGCATTTTCTCTTTAGCATCTTCATTAGTGAGTAAAACAGAAGTAATGACCTCAGTGATAAAAGGCAGGGAAATGAGCTACAGTCTCTGTTACACGGGACTCTCTTTTCTAGAATGTAATTGCATATTTACTCAAGATATTTTTATGAACAAAGAATGAACAAAAATTTTTTCTTAGCAGTTGACTAACATTTCTTCCATAATTGTTTAGCTCTTTTTTTTTATGAAAACGTTCTTTTTTAAAGAAAAACTATCTTGGATTCATCTTCTCGTCAGTGATTAAAAAAGTGGCTGGACTATGTGATGCAGAGTTTTCAAAAGAGTAAAATCTGCTGAGCCAAAGAGCATTTGTGTGTTGCTTAGGAATATTTACGTAACATTTAAAAGGTTCTACTATTTGACATCTTAATTAAAACATTTGTGGGTACTTTCAGAATAGCATTGATTTTGACCTTGGCAGCTAATGTCAGATTAGATGATTTATAAGTGGGCAGCGCTTGCATCTCTGCTTTTGTTTTCATGTCTTTCAAAACACGTCTCTACCCTCATCACTCACCACTTGGCTGCTTTTTCCCCAGGCTTCTGGAGGCTTCCATTCACAGGCTTTTTCCTGACAAATTTGAGCAAGACAGAGCTGACTATGTCTGGAGCACCCTCTTGAGGACAGACTTATTGAAGGGAAACTAAACAAGTTTCCATTCAGTTAGATGCTGCAATTGTATTACATCTCAGTGCAAGGGAGAAAGAATGGATTTCATGAGACACAAAAGTTAATTTTTTGTTTTTTCGCCTTTGTTTCCATCAGGTCAGCCACCATCCACCTATTTCTGCATGTCACGCTGAGTCTGGAAATTTTGTTTTCTGGCAAGGTAATTGTGCTAATATATTTGACTTCTATCATTTTGTGTAATGGTATAATTTATTTTATTCAGGAACTACTGTAAATGCTTGTTAAGATCAAAAGCGGGCCCTGGACTTGGGCCTTATTGGAAGAAACTGTACACTTGGTGTTCTTGCCTCTCACCTCTGAACAATAACTGCCATTTGTCGACTTCAAAATTCAAGATTCTGGAGGATAATTTAGTTGTTCTCTTCTTTCAAAATCCTCAGTCTTTGTCTGGGCCACCACCATTGTTTATTGCTATAATTTTTCCTTTATCGCATTCCATGCCCATTTGAAATGCCTCATGTATTTCAAGACATTAAATATTTACAGTTATTTATCAGATTCTAGACAGCAGAGGGTTCTTTTGCTTTTGAAAGCTTTAAATTTTATTTCTGAAATTTTACATTGCTGACTTTCTTTTAGTTTGGGGTTGTTCCTGTATTCAGTTTATTATATTTTGAATTTGGGAAGGGACGGCTTGCTCTGAAGAATAAATAAGGCTGCAAATATTTCCTAAATGGATTAATTAATTTTGTTAAATTATTTATTCCAAAGTCAGAGGGTGCTATAGAAAGAAAATTTGAGCATCCCAGGTTTTTGAACAATGAGCACATGTCAGTTTTTTAAAAGATTCTTCTCTGCTAACTGGTTAACACCTGATTTGCCACACTGCCTTTTTTTTAATGCATCTATACAATTTTGAAGATGCGAAAGAGTATTTTGTGAAAAAATTTCCTTCCCCCATTCCAGTTCGTAGCCATCCAGTTTCTCTCTCTGGACGCAATATTACCAGTTTAGGTTACAAGTACCATGGTTTCCTTTCTGAGTCTTTGCTACTAAAGTTTAAAATTGAAGCTTGACTGGAGACTTCTCTTTCACCGAAACCCTCTGGAAATAATTCCCATAAGATCTCTAACCTCCTAATTGCTGTGTCATTGACCTTGTTAGCACTTTATTATTACTTTTTTAAGTTAGGTATTAGGTAGTGGGAGGGGTCTTCTTCAAGTACGTCCTGTGTGCTCCTTACATCAGTCAGTTTTCTCCTCCACTCCCCTTGCTTCTTCTTCATCACCTTCTTCCTGGGCAATCCCATGTCTCCATAAGCCCACGACTGCCAAATCTTGCTTTTTTTTTTAATCCACTTTGACATTTTCCTGCCTTTTGATTAGGTTGTTTATCTTACTTACATTTATTGTGATGATCAACATAGTTGGATTTAAATTTGGCCTCTTGTTATTTGTTTTCTGTTTGTTGCATCTGTTCTTTGTTCCCCCTTTCTTCTTCTTTTACGTTCTTTTGGATTAATTATTTTCTGTGATTCCATTGTGTATCCTTTGTTGCCTTATTAGCTGTACTTCTTTGTTCCATTTTTCAGTTGTTACTTTAGGATTCATAGTATATATCTTTAACATATCACAGTCTCCTTTCAAGTGATATTATGCTACTTAACATATAGCAAAGGCAGCTTACAAAAGTGTACTTCTGTTTCCCCTTCCCCAACCTTTGCTATTGTGGACAAACATTTTACTTACATATGTTATAAACCCTGTCATACATTGTTACTAATTTGCTTTAAACAACCAATTATCTTTTGAGGGGTAACAGCTTATTGAGATATAATTTATAGGCTATACAACTCACCTAATTAAAAGGTACAAGTCAGTGGTTTTTCATATATTCACAGAGCTGTACAATCATCACTACAATCAATTTTAGAACATTTTCATCACTCCAAAAAGAAACCTCTTTTCCCACCTTTTAGTGGCTCCCCCCCCACCCCCCCACCTTCCAATTTCTGTCAAGCTCTTCCATCCTTAGGCAACCACTGGTCTTCTTTCTGTCCCTATAGATTTGCCTAGTCCGGACGTTGTCATATAAATAGAATCATGTAATATGTGCCCAGGAGCTTCCTGGTCCCAGCCCACCTCTCTCCTGGACCACAGCCATGACCCCCTACTGTCCTCCCTGCATTCACCTTTGCTCCCCTATGGTCTGTGTATTGTCACCCAGCAGCCAGAGGGATCATCTGCCTTTGCCCTTCTTTTTCTATTTCCTGTCTCTCTGATAGCACTACCATTCACGCAAGTTGGAAGAATCTGAGGTCATCCACAAATTCTCCCCGTCTTTCACAATCTGAATCTAATTTGTCACCCAGTTTTATCTCTGCTTCTTTAATGGTTCCAGGAGCATTCCCTTCTACTCCATCCCTACCACCCCTGTCCTGGTTCACTTCATCCTCATTTATCCCTTGAGCATACAGGTCACCTGCTTCTCATCTCTCCTGCTCCTGTTCCATTCTCCATACTGCTGCCAATTATCCTGGCAAAGCCTGTATCTCATCACATCAATTTTCTGTCTAAACAAAACCTTATTTCCCCCAGTGCACCCAAATCAGACTTCTTAGCCAAGCTTGTAGAGCCCGCTGTTTTTTGCACTAAAGCTGTTTTTCTACTCTTCTCTCTAAACAGTCTGAGACCCAGAAGATAGAACCACACCCTGTTCTCTCGTGTCTTCTCATGTCTTCTGCCTTAAACTGCTTTTTCTCTGCCTAGTGAACGGTTTATTTTTCAAGCCTAGTTTAAGCGGCCTCTTCAGACAAGCCTCTTCTGATGCCTTCCCCAAGCATGTTGGGCTTTCCTTCTCTGGTTCCATTTCACCCTACAACATACCCAGTTATGGCCCGTGCCTCTCTGGGGGGCCTTACTCGTTTTCACTTCTGTATGCCTTTCCCACTGTGAGTTCTTCCAAGGGAGGGACTTTATAATTTTAGTTTCTCTGATTCTGTTCCAGGTATTCAGTTGCTACTTATATTGAATAATAATGAATTTTATTATGGAGAGATTGTCCTATATTGTGGTTGATCATTTATCCAGCCTAAGAACGCTTTGATCTACCTAGCTCTCCTGCTAAATATGTAATATTTGGTATTATTTCATTTCAGACATGAGATGGAAGAACAAATTCTGGGGCAAATCCATGGAAATTGTTCCCATTGGCACAACCCATGTGACTCTGCCAGCGTAAGTTCTCCTTCTATGGTTAGGAACTTTATAGAATTTAGGGCCAAGGTTTAGGAACAGGATTCCCATTGGCCCCCGTGGTGCTGAGTGTGTTTTTTTCTGTTAATGTGTTTGACAGTAGCTTCAAATGTTCTTCATTTTGACAGTCTCACATTTTTGTTCTCTCTAATGGAAATGCTTCCTGGACACCAAAGTTCCCAAGTAGGGGCTTTAAAAAATACATTTCTACTTTCTAACACAATTAAGAATGATAATATTTCTTTAGCACTGTTGTCCTGCCTCACTGTCAAAAAAAATTTTTTTTTTCTTTTTTTTTTTTTTTTTTTTTTTCTGCTGCCTGAAGGCCTGAGCTACAATGTTTCCGTAGGATTTGGGAGTATGTTCTATTTGAAATATCTTTGTTTGTGGCTAATAGCAGTGCATTAGTATCATCCCTGCATGTAAATAAATAGAAATGCATTCTCTATGTATCCTTGCACTTTTCTGATTAGAACAGGGTACGTGGGCCTCTCACCGTTGCGGCCTCTCCCGTTGCGGAGCACAGGCTCTGGACGCACAGGCTCAGTGGCCATGGCTCACGGACCCAGCCGCTCCGCCACATGTGGGATCTTCCCGGACTGGGGCACGAACCCGCGTCCCCTGCATCGGCAGGCGGACTCTCAACCACTGCGCCACCAGGGAAGCTCTCAAAAAAATTTTTAAAGAAAACTATGGCCTTGATCTTCAGGGATTATTGATACTTATTCATAAAGCAAAATGGTAATCGTTATGGCCTCTGGAACTGGGCTACTGGGACTCCTGTGCTCACACCATTACTTACTAGTTGCAAATCCTTGGGCAGGTTACTTAACCTTTCTGATCACCAGTTCTCTCATCTATGAAACAGGGATAATGAACCATCTACTTCATAAGACTGTTGCGAAGGTTAAGCAGATACGGAAAGCACTTAAAATAGTAATTGGCACATATTATGTGTCATTTAAGTGTTTGGTCTTGTTACCATTATCCTCATAATTATTATTTAACTCCATAAGTCATATTTGAATACCTTCTCATTGTAAAAGATTTAAGATATATGTATCTTAAGATCAATATGTAAAATATATATGTGTGTGCGTATGTATACAGACACACCTCAGAGATATTGCGGGTTTAGTTCTAGACCACTGCAATAAAGCAAATATTACAATATAGTGAGCCACGTGAATTTTTTGGTTTCCCATTGCTTATGAAAGTTATGTTTTATATACTTCATAGACATGAAGGGAGCAGATGCTGTTGGAAAAATGCTGCCAGTAGACTTGCTCTACACAGGGTTGCCACAGACCTTCAACTTGTAAAAAACACAATAAAGCGAGATCTGCCTGTATACATATGTGCCTAAATATACACACCTACACGTGTATATACATAAGTATATATGTGCATGTGTGTGCCTGTATGTACACATTCGTGTGTGTGCACATATATGTATGTGTGTAGAGAGCACACTGTGGAAAACCCCTCTACCCTCCCCTTGCCACTCTCCTTTCATAGTTTGGTGACTTTCGACACGTCTTCTCTGGCAAAGGACAGAGTGGGTTGTTCCAGGAGACCTCCAGCTTCTAGAGGAGCCTCTGGTAGCCTCCAGGGTCTGACCTTCACCCACCTCCCAGCCTCCTGAGAGGGTGAAAGCTCTTAGACTGCCCAGCACAGCTCTATCGGTGTTGGTTCCATTAATGAAGGAATGAGTAATTCATTACAGGACTTGTTTTTTAAGTAGCAGTGTTTGTTTGCATTTGCTGCTGGCTGCTCTGGTAGTTGTTACTTTCACTTTTTCTTCCTTTAGTTTTGGAGATCATTTTGAGTGGAACAAAGTGACCTCTTGCATCCATAACATCTTAAGTGGGCAGAGGTGGATCGAGCACTATGGAGAGATTGTTATCAAGAACCTGAATGATGATTCCTGCCACTGCAAAGTGAACTTTATAAAGGTAACCTGGGTGGCCTGTGAGCTCTGGCGCTGGACAGGCCTCGGCAGAGCTGGGCCTCAGGGCACAGGGTGTCTTGGGAAGTTTTTCACCTTCACTTTTGTGCCAGTAGACAAGCAATGCCAGGTGCTCCCTGGTCCCAGCCCCACCTCTCTCACCTGGACCAGGGCCATGGCCCCTCCTGGCCTCCTTCCTTCCACCTTTACTCCCCTATGGTCTGTCTTCAGTGTGGCAGCCAGAGGGACCCTGTTGAAACATGTCATCATGTTACAGTACGGATGAGCCTTGACCACATGATGCTAAGTGAAATAAGCCAGACACAAAAGGCCAGATATGATTCCATTTATGTAAGGTACCTGGAGCAGCCACATCCATAAAGACAAAGTAGAATGGTGGTTGCCAAGGGCTGGGGACTGGAAGGAATGGGGAGTCATTACTTAATGGGTACAGAGTTTCAGTTTGAGAAGATGAAAAGTTCTGGAAATATATAAGGCAATGGTTACGCAACATTGTGAATGTACTTAAAGCCACTCCATTATACACTTAGAAATGGTTAAAACAGTAAATATCATGTTATATATGTTTTACCACAATTTTTTAAAATGTAAGTCATGCCATATTTGACCAAAATCCTCTGACAACTTCCATCTTTCTCAGAGCAAGAAGCCTGCATCCTTCCAATGGCCCATGAGACCCTACAGAATCTGCACTCCTCACCCCCCCACCCCTCCCTCACTCACACCCACACACACCCCACCCGCATTCCTCTCCAACCTCAACTCCTGCCACCCCTCGTTCCCTTTCTTGCTCACCATCCTCGAGCTGCACTGTCCTTCTTTTTCTCTCTCCATTTCCTTCTGCTCGGGCCTCTCTCCCCAGATCCTTCCATCCACTTTGTTAGTCACCCTCTATCGTACCCCATTTTCTTCAAAGTGTTCATCACCATCTGCAGTTAGCTTGCTCGCTCTTGCTTTACTTGCTTATTTTCTGTTCCCCACACCCTCCTTGCCATTCCTGACTCCAGAAAAGCAGAAGCCTGGTCTGTCTTGCCCACTGCTGTGGCCAGTGCCTGACAGTGGTGCCCGGCACACAGCAGAGGCTCATGAACATTCACAGATTCTCCTGGGGCAGAGAGCCTGGAATAGTCTGCTTACCTTTCCAGCTTTCCAAATTCCTTGATTTGAGCCCTCTCCCCAGCTTCTCTTCCTCCTGAAATTCCCTCTTAAAAATCTCATGTATACAAAATGGCCTTAAAGTGCTACCTTCCTCAAGGAATATTTGCATTTAATTAAGATCAAAATCATAAGCCAAGAGATTAGGTTCTAACTGTGGAATTTCACATGGTACCTCTCTGCACCACCTGTAGCAGGTAGGGGACATTATGGAGAGGTGGATGGGGGTCTTTATTATATCCTAAAGTCAAACTGGGTTGTAGACAGACATAAAGCTGGTAGTGATTTGGCATAAAATACAAATGACCCTGCCGTGAAAGCTTCATCTAAGCTCTCTACAAAAAGAAGCAAAGGCCACCTGGAGCAGGGACATAAATAACTGGGAGATAGATAGATAGATAGATAGATAGATAGATAGATAGATAGATAGATGATAGATATCCAGGTGAGAGCCGCCTTGTTTTCAGAATTTTCCCCAAGGAAGTGTGCTCCACTCCCATTTCTACCAACCACTTGGTACTCGTCCACTGAGGACCAGGGAACAAATTTTCATAGTGATGAGAGATGAACAGAATTAGAACACTAGACGTGCCTCTGGTGTTGAGAGAGAATCTGAAAGCAGAGGCAGCCGTTGCCTGTGGAACGTGACTGCCTCCCTCTGTGGCTTCCCATCATTGGACTTGTTGGCAAATATCTCTAAAGAGGAAATCTGACTCCTGCTTCAGAATAAACTGAAGAGCCTGGACAGTGTCTTTTTCCCTGTCCCCCATCCTTACATGACTAGAGAACTCACTTTCTGATTCAGCTCTGGGGTACTGCTGTACTCTGCCCTTCTTGCTATTCTTACCACAGACTTGGTTGGAATGGGGAAGCCAGTCTACCAGATATGGCCTGGAAATGTCACTCAACTTTATTGGTTTCCAAATGTGGATTCTGTTTTGGCTGAAAATAGTAGTAGGATTTTTTTTGATTTATGGAGTAATGCCTTCTGGTCTTTTGCAGAGATTTTTAGGGCAGCCAGGTAATTGGGAGAATTTTAAAAATCAACACTAGGGAGTTAGAGCTCCCTCTGCTGGCTGCAATATGGTACTGTATATGTAAAACGCACAAGGCTGAGCCAAGATGAGCTAGCTGGTCTCAGACCAGGACCAATTCATAGTGGGAATACGGGTTGTATAAGCTTCCTGTAAGTTAGGTGAACAGATCTGGTTTGGGTGTGGGGGGTGGGGGAAACTAATAGGAGGAACTGAAAATTGATTGGTTTACAAACTTGGTTAAAAAAAATTGTTGGTTTACAAAGGATTGTCTAGTTCCTTCAGAGAAAACATTACATGAGTTACATTTCTTTTAAACTGCAGTAGTCAGAGCCACAGTGACAGCCAGGAAATAGCTGTTCCGGAGCGGGTGCTTAGGGCCAGCCCCTGCTTGGTGGATGTGTGAGAACTGAGCCTTTCCTTTCTACTATGCATGTAGTGAAAGTCGAAAAAAATTGTGTCTTACACAAATGTTGGTGGTTGAGTTACAAACTGTAAATAAAGTGCTAGCTTTTTACTTTTCATTAAGTAATTAAAAGTATGATTAAAAAAGAAAACAGAACCAGCAAACCATATGTAGCATAGAATCATTCTTATGGTACTTTTTCTCTCCTCTTTTGTTTTCTCTTAATATCTGTAATAAATTGACCCCAAAACACTAAACAGATGACTCTCATTTGACTCCTAGGCAAAATACTGGAGCACTAATGCCCATGAGATTGAAGGTACAGTATTTGACAAGAGTGGAAAACCAGTGCATCGACTATTTGGGAAATGGCATGAGAGCATCTACTGCGGTGGTTCTTCCTCATCCACTTGTATCTGGAGAGCGAGTTAGTATCTGGTTAATCAGCCCCAAGCAAAAGGAGGCAGGACGGGGCCAGAGGAACCGCACGTGGGTGGGCGTCGGTGTCCATTCGGTGTATCTAGCCTCTGCCCGCTTTGAACTATGTTGGAGCTACTGGCCCATCTTTCATTCACCTAGTTATATCTCAGACTCATCCTCAAGCTTAACAGTAACTCTGTTGGGTTGACAGGTCCTGGGTTCTTAACCCCAGAACAAAGCCATTGCTAATCGGTGGTTCCTCTGTCTTCCAGTCAACACACATCATTCCTTCGCCTATACTGGGCACTATGAAGGAGTATCAATGAGGTACAAGAAGTCATTCTAGAGTAAAGATAAAGGGAAAATTCTTACTGGAAAAGTAGAATGACCTACAAGAGTTAGGGGTCCCCTAGACTCTCCCAATACCATAAGCCACTCCAGTCTCTCCTGTAATTCTAGAAGGATGCTAAGTGCTTGAAGCAGCTGAGGGGAAAAGGGGGAAGGAAGTCAAACCTTCATAATGGCTTAAAGCATTAGGATATGTGCTATGCACTTAACAACAAATGGCAGGGGGTGGCCCCAGGGTTGTTACACAGGCAGGTTACCTGTGTCAAGAACACAGGTCATTGAGGGCCCATCTGCCACTTCCAATATGGTGGTGTTGTTTCTTCCCATGGATGCAAAATGGTTGCCTCGATTCAATATCATATCCCCCCTGTGACAGCTCACTAAGCAGGGGAGAAGGGAGGACAGAAGAGCTTTCTTCAGTTGTAACTGTCTTTTCTCAGGAATGAAATATTTCCTAGGATCCTGCAGCAAATGTGTCTTCATATCTCATCCACCTGGAGTGGGTCCAAACCCATCCCTTAACCGATCCTGGGCAACTGGGTCGGCAGGAGAGATTCAGATGAGTTTAGATTCATCCCCTAGGGAGTGTACAGTGACGCCCAAACAGATGAGTTTGCCATTAGCAAGTAAGAAAGGGAGATGACTGTGGAGTGGGCAAGCAACAATGTCTCTTTCAACGGGTAGCAGCCACATTCCACCATCGCAGAGGTTGCCACGAAGCTAGAATGACTTGGCACCATGGCCGCCTTCCTAGCTTCAGAGGTTCAGAGGCACTCATGGCATTTTATGAATGAGTCACTTGCTCTCCTTTGCTTAAAGAATGTATCACAGATGAGAGCTACCATCGGCTCTGGGTGTTAAAGTAGCAACTTAACAACAGTGTGTAAGCTGTTATTCTTGCTATTGTTGTTATTCATTGACTTTATGTCTCTGCCTTGGCTATGAGCATCCCTGGCCTGTCTGCAAGAAAAACTACTGTCTCCACTCTGGTGATTGGGAGACTGGGATGGATTTTTGAAGGCATAGTAGGAAGTTTGCTATTATTTTTATGCTTAGGATCCACAGAGAATTAGAATTAGACAAAGTGGACTTCTGAAGCTTCAGAAAATGGGTCTTCAGAAAAGTTCGTGGAAAGCATTTGTATATGTGGACACCTAGAGCTAAGGCTACGAGTGGATTGGATTAGTCCACATTTGATTTATCCAGTACGTAAATTTGGGTGTTTTTGGCTTGACTTCTAGCTGGATTCATCATCCCCTAGGGAGTGTACAGTGATGCTAAGTGCTTGAAGCAGCTGGGGGGAAAAGGGGGAAGGAAGTCAAACCTTCATAATGGCTTAAAGCATTAGGATATGTGCTATGCACTTAACAATTAAATTAAAGTTAACAATTAATTAAAGTTAGGGCAGTACGCCTGCATTAATCTGCTAGGGCTGCTGTAACAAACACCACAGACTAGGTGGCTTAAACAGCGGAAATTCATTTGCTCACAGTTCTGGAGGCTGGGTGCTGGCAAATTCAGATTCTGGTGGGAGTCTTCTTCGTGGCTTGGCTGCCAGATCAGGACCCACCCTTCTGACCCCACTTAACCTTCGTTACTCCAGAGGCCTCATCTCCAAAGACAGCGGTCTGGGGGTGGGGCTTTAACATATGAATTTTGAGAGAACATAAACATCCAGTCCATAACATTCCGCCCCTGGCCTCCCAAAATCATGTCCTTCTTACGTGCAAAATGTGTGTATTCCACCCCGGCAGCCCCAGAAGTCTTGACTCATTCCTGCGTCAACTCTAAAGTCCAAAGTCTCATCCAAATATCATCTAAATCAGGTACGGGTGAGATTTGAGGTATGATTCATCCTCTCCAGCTGTGAGCCTGTGAAACCAAAATGTGCTTCCAAAACACAGTGGTGGGATGGGCATAGGATAGACGTTCCCATTCCAAAGGGAGAAAGAGGAAAGAAGAAAGGGACGACAGGTCCTAAGTGAGTCCAAGTCCTAGCACGGCAAATGCTGTTGATCTAAAAACTGGAGATCATCCTCATTGGCTCAGTGCCCCCGCCTCTGGGCCCACTGGGACTTTGCCTGGCTCCCAAGCCCCCCAAGGCTCTGGGTGGTGGCAGCTGGGCATGTTGAAGCTGCACAGCGGCCCTGCCATTTGAGAGGTAGAGGCAGCCTTGCCCCCTGAATCTGTGTAGTCTGGGCCTGTGGTGGGAGTGGCAGCCTGATGATCTCTGAATCACCTTCAGAGTCATTCCTCCCTTTTCTTGAAGGCAGTGCATGTTTGCAGCTGCGTAGCTCTCTGGTTCCATCTGTAAAATAACAGTAGTCCAGCAGCCTTGCTTCATTCAGTCCTGTTTTCTCTGTCCCCTTTGGTTCCAGCTGGCAGTGTTTCTGCCATTATAATCCCATCTCTATTCCTGGCTTCTGCTGAGGTGGTTTAAAATTAAAATATGTAAGATTTGGAGGGGCCAAGCATTGGTGAAAAGAAGAGTAGGACTGTAAGTACAGAATCATATTTATTGGGCTTCCCTGGTGGCGCCGTGGTTGGGAGTCCACCTGCCGACGCGGGGGGCGCGGGTTCGTGCCCCGATCTGAGAGGATCCCGCGTGCCGCGGAGCGGCTGGGCCCGTGAGCCGTGGCTGCTGGGCCTGTGCGTCCAGAGCCTGTGCTCCGTGGCGGTAGAGGCCGGGGCGGTGAGAGGCCTGCGTACAGCAAAAGAAAAAAAAAAAAGAATAATATTTATTGACCTCTTGGTGTGGGTCCAACACTATTCTAGGTACTAGACAGAGTTTCAGTAGAATTTGACACCTCTTAAATGAAAAACGGATTCTCTAGAGTGAAAGTCTTGTTAGTCAGAAAAAGTGGACCTAGAGTTCTTTTTAACATGTTTATTTTAGTAACAAATTATTTTTATAACTTAAATTCTATAGAAACTTCTTGGTATTTAATAAATTTGCTATAGGACCACACAAAGAAGGCCTTATGCTTGTAGGTAGCAGGAAGCTTATAGAGAAGAAAATTTATAGAGAAAAATTCAGCACCTCTTTGTGAGCCAGGATATTTTAATAGAAATGGAAGAGTTTAGAGCTGAGAGAGAAAAATTGTAGCTGGTCTGAGATGAAAAAGGTGAAGGAATTAAGATGTGATGTGAATGCAATGCAAGTCAGAGATGAATGATTTCTTTTTCTTTTAGATCCCATGCCAAAAGGTTATGAGCAATATTATGGCTTCACACAGTTTGCACTGGAATTAAATGAAATGGATCCATTGTTAAAGTCTTTATTACCACCTACTGACACTCGATTCAGGCCAGACCAAAGGTAAGGATTTTTTTTAGATCTTTATCTCCAGAGATGTGAAACTCTTTGTAAAAAGTCTTGGTAACATCTCCCAGGCTACCAAAGGAGCCTAAGAGAGAGAGATTCTGTCATCAAGAGCAGAGGTCTAGGGAGACTTTAAGCCACCTTTTGGAAGGAACGGAACCCAGCTTAGATCTGTGTGTGGCATGACCTTTATTCATCAGTAGAACCCCATTTCTATTGAAATACAAAAAAAAAAAAAAAGTGTTTTTTTATAGAGTTTCACTACATACAGCAATAAGAAAAACTTACTCTGTATTTGAAAGAATAAAAGCATCCAGCTCCCCACCCCTCGAATTTAAATTATTTTGGTGCACTGAAATCTAACTTCTGATCCTAGGTTTGCTGCTGACAAGCTGTGTCGCATACGCTAAGTCTTTTAACCTTTCTCAGCCTCAGTTTCCAGCTCTGTAAAACAGAAAGAATAATCTCTCTCCTAAGGCCTTTCTAATTAAGACTCAAAACCAAGAAGGCAAAAAATAAAATAAAATTGATAAAATTTGACTTTATTTTTTAAAAACCCAGCACCCTTCTTCATGGTAAAGTAAATAAAATGTGTACCCAGAGTCAAAAGATTAAGGACTGAGAAATCTATACTTGCAACTCACTTCATGAATTGGTTCTAGAAATCAAAATCAATCCATTAAAAAAAAAATAGACATAGGGAAATGAGCAGTTCACAAAATAGGAAATGTAGGTAGCCCTTAAACATATGAAAAGATGCTCAGTCTTACTCAAAAAAACCCACAGGGCTTCCCTGGTGGCGCAGTGGTTGGGGGTCCGCCTGCCAGTGCAGGGGATGCGGGTTCGTGCCCCGGTCCGGGAAGATCCCACATGCCGCGGAGCGGCTGGGCCCGTGAGCCATGGCCGCTGAGCCTGCGCGTCCGGAGCCTGTGCTCTGCAACGGGAGAGGCCACAACAGTGAGAGGCCCGCGTACAGCAAAAAAAAAAAAAAAAAAAAAACCCACAAAATTTTAAGACCACGCTGTCATACCATTTCTTTACCTATCAGATGGCAAAGACTCAAAAGTTTGATGCACTCTGAGGCTACGGGGAAGGGGCACTTCAGTAACATTGCTGGTGGAAATGTAAATTGCTGTAATCCCCATAAAGGGCAGTTTGGTAATAGATATATTGCAAACTCACCCTTTAACCCAGCAATACCACTTCTAGAACTGTCTCCTGAGAGATATACTAACACATGTGCAAAATGACAGATATATACAGTCCTTCACTGCAGCATTAATTTTAACAGTAAAAAATTGGGAACATCCCAAATGTCTATCAATAGGGAATTGTTTAAATAAATGCAGGTGTATCCACACAATTGAATATTATATATCTGTTAAAAGTGAAAAGATGTGTGTACTACCAAGAATCAGCTCCAAGATATATGGTTAAGTAAAAAGTAAAGCAAAACAAGATACCAAAGTACAGACAGTATGTGTCGCCTGCTTCCGTTTATGTTCTTAAAAGGGAGGGAGGGGTAAAAATATATATTAATGTGTGTTTATATACGAATCAGGAATCTCTAGAAGGATGCACAAGAAACCCGTAACGGTGGATTACCTGCGGTGGGGGGCGTGAACGTGGGTGGGATGGGGAGGAAACAGGTAGAACTGGAGATGGGAATGAGAGAGGGAGATGTTACCCCAAATTCCTTTTCATAGATATAATTTTTTGAACCATGTCTGTGTCACCAATTCAGAACACAATACTGTCCCTCATTACCTCCAAATAATGTATTTAGGGTTGAGGAGGGGGCTTATGTATAGGAGAGTATTCTGAATATCCAGTCTTGCACACATGCAGTTCTAATAGTAATGATTGTTACATTTCCTTGGTGTTCCTATTCCTTTATCTTTTTCCTGAATGCCTCAGGTTTCTAGAAGAAGGGAGCTTAGAAGAGGCCGAAATACAAAAGCAGAGGATTGAACAGCTGCAGAGAGAAAGGCGGCGGGTCTTGGAGGAAAATAAGGTGGAGCACCAGCCGCGGTTTTTCAGGTATGTGTGCAGCTCGGGTCGTGTGGGTCATCGTTGGCAGGCACTGGCGACGCCTGATGCTTCTGGTGTGAAGAGAACAGACTGGGGTGTCCCCTCCCCAGGAGAGAGTGTTCTCGGCCCTTTTCCTGCTTCAGAGTGGTGACATCCCTCCTCTGTGAAGGCCCGACTTTGTGGGGACACTGCCCCCAGGCTGCCCCATGCAGCCCTCCTTTTTTGCGTTCCTTGGTCTCTCCCAGGGCCTCTCCCAGGACTTTGCAGAGAGGTGCTCAGTAAGTGCTTGTGGGAGAAGCAACAAGACCAACCAAACCCAGCTCCCAGTACCAGGCCAGCTTATTCAAGCCATGTCTAAGGTTGGTCCCCCAAATGGGTAGATTCTACACAGTGATGGAGATAATTAGCTATCACCCCGTTCTTCACCAAACTAGAACTCCCAAGTAATCTAATTCTTGAATTGCAGGAGTTCCAATATACTGGGCCTTGGATTTGGAACATTTAGTATTATTTTAAAAATAGCTTGCTAGGAGGGTCTCGTTAAGAACAGACTGAAAGATTTAGAAGGGGCGTCAGAGATCACCTGCCCTTCACCCCCTCTTTTATTTTAACTGCAAAGAAACGAAGGCCCAGGAGACGTAGGTGATCTGTGGAAAGACCCAGTGGAATGTCCCAGACGGGGACCTGGCTCTCTTGACTACAGGCCAGGGCTTGATATGGTTTTAGGGGTTTTTAGTTTGTTCTTTTTTTTTTTAAATCAGCAATGGAACAATCACAGGTAGAAAAGCAGCCAGCTCCTGCCCTACCTGTTCCCCCCAATCTTCTTTTCAGGATTTTGTTGTTGTTTGCAGGGATTTTTTGGTTGTTATTATTTTTTAATGGGCAACAGAAACACTTTTAGGAGGATTTAGCAACTAATCTATCAGCTGCATCAATAAAATTATATATTTCCAAAACAGCGAAATAGCAACAAGTTATGTTTTATCCCCAAAGTATTATGTCCTTTCCCCTAAAGTTGATGTGGATTTTGATCATTTCACAAACTCAGAATATGAGTGATTGAAGATCAGTAGGCCAGAGTTTTATCCCAGAATATTCATAACTTCATTTAAACTTTTAAAAAATAAGACACCTTAAATTTTTTATTTTATATAAATGCAAGGGATAAGTAAATGGATAGACTAACAGACTGATCAATTGATTTTGGTAATATCTGTTAAAGAGGTTCATTACAGTATTTTTAGGATTATTAAAAATTGTGGATAACCAAACTGTCTCAGGAGCTAGATAAGGAGATTTATCAACTTGATCTGAAGTAAAAACCTCAAAAATGACTTCACACAGTCTGTGGAGCTCTGTGGCAAATGAACTAACATGTAAATGCAAAATATAAAATGTTATCTGGGCTGTCACTGCAACCGTGTAAGAATTATGTCTGGAGTGGACAAGGACTGAACACAGCTGCAGTTCTTTTTCCTCTTGATTGTCTGTAAAATTATCAGAGTATTAGATGTGGCAAGTAAAACTGTGAGAAAAGGTGAGAATTGTTCAGCAGTAGCAGTCCGGGAACTGTTCCAATTAGATGCTGGCAGAGATGACAGAGGAGCATGGGAACTTGGATGTTTCCGTTGACACTCACTGAGGAGCCACGAAAACATCACTGGAAATTTCAAGTGGAAACTACAGCTCTGGCAGCGATAGTCGTCTTTGTTTCATAGTAAAGTATCTGATATGCAGATTGATTTAGTTTTAAACACATCCCTTTATTGGAATAGAAAAACAATTGTGATAAAAATCTATGTTTCTGAGAATGTGGAAAAATAGGCACTCCACGCTTGTTTCTAAAGCATATGACAATATCATTCAACATTACAAGTGCGCATACTCTGACTCAGAAGTTCAGTTTATAGGAATTTTTAATATAACTAATCTCTTGCGCATACAAAATACCATATGTTTTGTTTATAATAGCTAGAGGTTGAAAACAACATCCTCAGTGCCCACCAGTAGGGTACTTGTTAAATCGTGGTCCATCCCCACAATGGACTATCATGCACCTGTTTAAAAAGAAAAAAAGGAAGCCCTTTTTGCCAAAGTCACCAAACTTCTCCTGCAAAGGGCAAATGGTGAATATTGTTAGCTTTGCAGGCCATGAGCCCTCGGTAGTAATGACTCAACCCTGCTGTGCAATGTGAAAGCAGCCATAGACAATACTTAAATGAATGGGCATGATGTGTTCCAGTAAAATGGTATTACAGAGATAGGCCGAAGGCTGGATTTGGCCCTTGGGCTGTAGTTTGCTGACCTTATTGTGACAATGGAAAAGGATCTCTAATATATATGTTATATCAAAAACTCAAGGCTTCCCTGGTGGCGCAGTGGTTGAGAGTCCGCCTGCCGATGCAGGGGACACAGGTTCATGCGCCTGTCTGGGAAGATCCCACATGCCGCGGAACGGCTGGGCCCGTGAGCCATGGCCACTGAGCCTGCGCGTCCGGAGCCTGTGCTCCTCAACGGGAGAGGCCACAGCAGTGAGAGGCCTGCGTACCGCAAAAAAAAACAAAAACTCAAGGAGTGGGAGACCATCCAGGGCTACCATTGAATGAAAAATAGGAGAGGAGTGGAGTGTGAGTGTGCATGCGTGCACGCTCACACACGTGGAATTTCTCTGAGTGAAGCTGCTAAGATCAGTGTCTCTGCAGAGAACTGGGAGGCTGGGAGTAGGAGGAAAACGTTCAGCTCTCCACTCTTTGGTACCTTTTGAATTTGGATCTACGTAGTATATTATCTATGCATAGAATAGTGAACCAAGGCTATTCACTCCAGGCTATGATTCCAATTGCTTCCAATTCCTTTCCTTTTTACTGTTAATTGATCACTTGATTTGAACAACGCAATTGATTTGTAACTTTTACGTGGCCATACCCCAGGTGGTGGCTGTCATCCCAGCCCTGTTTTCTGTACGACAGACTCTACCCTCACCCACTTCTCTCAGAAGCACCCGTTTCTCACAGCCTCTAAGTTGGAGAAGTCAAAGTCAGAAGCAGCAAAACGGTTTCCAGGCTTCCTGCTCCCTTGCTGGTCCGGTACTGGACCACAGGGACCGGTGCAGGTGCCAGTGATAAGCTGGAGAGGGCGGGCAGGGGAGGAACGGGGTGAAAAGGAGACAGAGACCATGACAGTCTTGTCACGAGCCTTCAGCAAATTCTTTCACTTTCACAGGAAATCCAGCGATGACTCTTGGGTGAGCAGTGGCACCTATTTGGAACTTAGGAAAGATCTTGGTTTTTCCAAACTGGACCATCCTGTCTTGTGGTAAAAGAGGAAAGAGCGATACATCTTTGTACTTCTCCCGTGTTTGCTTTCTGAAGCCACAAACCTGTGTCTGTATATTTAAACAACATTACCTAGAACAATCACTTGTGCTTCTTAGCTTAGTGTTGTATTTAAGTATATATTTTCTTCAGTAGGTTTCTTTACAATTTCAAATGTTATCACAATTGTTTATATGAATGTAGAACACCTTGATATTTCTTTTTATATATAAACTATTTAATAAAAATGAAAGATTGAATGTTAACATGTGGGTTAAAAAAAGAAGCTTTAACACTAATTTTCCAAAGGTTAGGAAAATTCTAATTAAATTTATGCCTTATAAAATTATGTTGGAAAAAAAAAATCCATCTTTCCCAGGTGCATTAAGAAATAGGAATACGAAGGGTTACTCACCTGTGTGCAAGCTACCCAGGTTTAATTTGGTAGCTCAGATATCTTTTTGCCTCAGACAGCTTTTGAATTGCTCACACAGAACAATTCTGCTGGTACTGGAGTCTGAAGAATATTTGCATTTGCGTTTTAGTGCTTGGGGGAATGGTATATGATTAGTGGGATGTATGTTTTTATATAAGATGGATATGGCAGCTTCTCAAAGAGGAAGCATTTGAACTCATCCCTCCCTATAGTTTCATTGCCTTATGTGCAAAATTGTACCGTTACTCAGAAAAATTGTTGATAATCCGAGAAACCCCTGTTAATTAAATGTCAAAATGAAATCCCAGGCGGACAGTAGGAAATTTCTCCTTAGTGAGAGCTGAATCCATTACACGTTAAGAAACTGTTTTCTGCTTCCCACCCCACCTCTAGCCTCCTCCGCTGTTTGACCACATCTCTGTTGAATATGGAATGTCCCAATTTAGTGTAAAACATAGGTGCATTCAACATGGCAGTTTGACTTTCCAAAAGTTTAGCAAAGTAACTGATTGTTTTAAATAACTCAACATGTTTTTCTCAAATAGTGTTTTGATATTTTCTACCTCTCAATAAGCACCATATTTTAGATCTTGTATGAAAAGTTTGACCACCTGCCTTATAGACAAATGTAGAGAATTGATGTTCTTCCTTTGTGTTGTGTCCTGGTAAAGCTTTAAGTGTCTTATCGCTTTCCTACACTTCCTTCTTATTCATATCACTCTTTTGTGAGTTTTGCAGCAGTCTTGAATAATACAGACTCTAACTACTGAAAGGAGAAACTTCGCCTTTTTAAATGTGTTATTTCCAGTTACTATAATAGAATTTGTGCAGTAGTTGAATTGTGTGATCAAAGCAATTCTAACTTCTGCCCAGATTACTTTAAAACCAAAGCCTATGTTTGAAGCCTTTTCCTCTAAAGTCCATGACGATTTTATGTAATATCAAGTAAAGTGGTGTGGTAAAAAGATTTCTCCAGAAAACATTTTTAGATATTTAAATAATTTCAGAGAATGCTATGAATGAAAAGTAGAATAAATAATGGAAAAAAGAATGCATGATTTTTCAGTGTCACACCAAATAACTAGTTGGAGAGCATTGCACTTGCAAAATGGAGAGTTATTTAAAGTGGGTCAGTAGCCTTTTGGAATCTGCAAGTGACTAGCATTTTAAAACAATACACGACTCATTAAATATTGCTTTCATCCATTCCATGTATCAAGACGTCAAGATGAACACAATTCGAATATCATTTCCATTTCTAAGCAGTTAACTGACCCAATCAGATTCTTTGGTTATGTGCTTTGTTCTTTTCTTTTCAAGCATGTATCTAAATTCTGCTCACAGACGGGAAGAAGCAGGCTGTAGATTTTAAGGATACTCCAGGGGAAAACAAATCTAGTTTTCAGAGTATGAAGGTAAATGTAGAATTTGAGTAATACTGACTGTTATAGGCCTGCTCCAGGGGCCAGCTCCAAACAAAAACAGAAAGAAAACATGCAGCCTGCATGGACTTAGCTTTGTCATGCAGTCTTTGGAAAGTCTTTAATTGTCCTGATGCTGTTATTTCAGTTGATCTTATGTTTCATTTTGTAATCTTGAGGATCAAGGGACCAAATATCACCTTTGTAGTCATCTTATTTGAGATGGGAGTGGGGCTGAATTTGAATATGTATGCAAATTTTAAAGTCTATTAGTACCAACATCTATAAAGGGCTTTTCTGAAATTTAAGCAACTTGGTGATGCATCCTATTATAATCGTCAAATTCCCTTGAGGGGGAAATGGCTTCTTTTTTCCTTCAGCCTCTATTCTCAAAAGCATCCTCTCACCTAATTTGTATCTCAAGGACATTTTATATTCTTAGGATGAAGAAAACAGAAACAAGGCATTGTTTGGGAAGAATTAAGGTAGAATTGACTTTGGATTTTGAATCTCCCGATTGCATAATGCCAGTCACTGCATCACTTGAGGTACATGTTGTAACCTCCATTTTATTCCTTATCATCCCATCCCAAATGTATGGTGAACTGCACAGCTGTTCTTGGAAATGGGACCTTGTACAGTCAGCCGCGTTACACTTCCAGTGTTCCTGTTGCCTCTGCCAGTTATCCGAAGCTGCGGGACATGCTTCAGGAAGGAGCCACCGTCTCCAGGGTAGCCTGGCAGCAGGTCACTCCCTCCCCAGGCCCCAAAGCCTAGGCTGGTATTTCCTGGAGTCAAACTCAATAGTCAATGTCTCAGTGCAGCTCCTCCATGCCATTCACCTCCCAGAAGCCAGGCTGGTTCTGGTACTAATTAAACACATGGAGTTCACTTTAGGACAACCGTCCGTTATGTATCAGGTCCTCACAGAATGCCCAGAAAGCCCCCATGTGCCTCCTGTGCTTCCTGTGAGGTTCTCTGGGAGAGAAAAGTAGACAAACCAACTTTTAAAAATATATATTTGCTTCATTTGGGCTGCTGCTTTTCTCACATTCTACTTTTAACTGCTTCCAGTGAGTTAATGGCTTGGGCTTCGCGAGCGCCATCCATCTGTATTCTCCAGATTTATGATGAGTGGTCTTATCCTACTATTAACGTCAACCCTAAAAGAAAAATGATAAAGTATACAGTTTTTATTTGGCTGTTGAAACTTGTTGTAGGTCTACTGCATACTCTCTAAGTTATGCCTTCCAGCTATCATAGGATTTCCTCAGAGCTTTTAGTTATGAGTAGGAGCAATAAGCAGTTGTTCTTATGATCTTAGGAATAATAGTTCCAATGTATTGGCATAATTTATTTGAATGTCTTTAATTTTGATATTATCATTGGCATACCTCTATTTTTGCTACCAAATGATAGCTATTTTCATGTGCTCAATTTTCCCTACATTGTATTAATCTGTTGCTTAGTGTTTATTTTTCTATGTTGGAAATATATATATCACATAAGTCTGCAAATTGCAGCAGTCTGAAATGCAAACCATTTTCAGAGACTTTGGTTTTGAGGAATGCAGTGATCAGGAGTTGTTAATTTATTTTATTCATCATGATTTTATCTTCCTCACTTACCCTCAGAGGATACTATTTTTTTTTAATGGATATTTGTAAATCTTTCATCTAACCATTTATAAGATTATTTTCTGTTTAAAATCCCAGCCTTCCTCCCATCCCCTTATGCCTCCCCCCAAAACTCTTGACTAATTTGTTTTTCCCCCTCGTGAAGCTAGTTGACTGTGAATAAATAACATGGAAAAAGGCCGCTCCTGTCGTTGTGTTTCCAGGTTAATGGGCATATGTGGCTGCCGAACGGACAGAGCAAGACTCTATAGCTGAGACTTTGCTGAGGGAGAAACACACAAGATTAGCTCAAGTGATGGGGTTGGAAATATAAAATACCCCAGGACATAAAGAAGCCTGGAAACTGGCAAAAGTTGCCATACTTTTGGTCTGAACATTTCCAAGGTGTACTGCAAATGTAGGTCCCCCAGCCTTTGGGACAGGGGACCTGAGGCAGCTAGAGCCCCAGACGGCCCCCAAAGAAGCCCTGTCTGTTCAACCCAGCATGCTGTGGAAATATTATTTTCTGTGTGTCCTAACATGAAAAAGGAAAATGCCGACTAGTCACACTGATTTAATGGCCCTTATTAATGGCTGACTCATCTCTCACATCCAACTTGTGTCCTTTGCAATGCCCCAAACACTTAACCTTCCCTGAAGTCCCATTCGAGTGAGTTCATACATTTATGGTGTTACGCACGCACTGGATCTCAGTTACACACATAAGGTCACATCTCTGCCCCCCCAAAGCGCTAAAGAGACAACCAAAAGCAATTCATGAACCTTGATTGGATCCTGGCTTAAAAGAAAAGAAAAACAAGCTATAAAAGACATTTTGAGGGCAATTAGTGACATTTGCATATAAACATCATGAAATCATTGCTAATTTCCATATATGTATATGATGTTACCTGTTGATCTGTATCAAATCTGCCATCAAAGAAGGATTGACATTATTCCAAATAATACAAACACCAAAGGAAACCTTCAAAGGCAACCTCAGACCATTTTAACGTGCTGGCCATTATTGGAATAGATATTAAAGCATCCTAAGGTGTTGACTTTGAGGAAGCAATGAAATTTGAAGGTACAAGTTTTCGGCCTTTAGTTTAGGAACTCAGTCGTATTATTTTCCAGTCATACTGATGGAATACCTGCACTAATATAATGTCCATCAGTGACCAGCAAATCAGGACATCATGGTCCTAGCTGACACCAGTCAGGAGTTTCTTATTATGGACTAATTAGTTGGAGTCCCTGCAGGAAAGCGAATCCAACTCCATAGCTCAGGAGATTTAAATGAAGGGCTACTTGCAGGGCTGTTAGCGGGATTAAGGCATGTCAGCAACAGCTGGAAGTTGTAACCGCCCCTGCAGGAGCTGGAGGTCCGAGGAGGGAAGGGTGGTCAGGAGCTGTAGTGGAGGGACATTCGGCCTCTGCCAGAAAATCCAGCCGAGCGTCAGGAAGAGATCTCCCAACCTCGGTCTCCTCTGGCCGCCATTCTCCCTGGTGGCTGAACTCAAGTGGGTACA